ATCAGGGCATTAACAACCTGATTGTAAGATGGAAAAGCATCATCAATAGGAATGGAGACTATTTAATTTAATAGATGTTTGTTTTGATATGTAAATTGTTCGGTTTTTTCATTTAAAAAAAGTGACATTAATTTCTTGACGCCCTAATATTTGTTTTACGTTTGAAAATACGAGACATTTCTAACTAAAGATTAGCAGTTGAAATTCTAAATTCTTATATTATTTATTATTATCCTAAATTATATAAATAAATAAATAATATGCATTGATTATATTTTTGATCCATATGTTGTTATTGCAAGATATAAATAAATGTTTATATAGCACTTGTATAAATTTTTGTAACGTTTTACGTCTTCTCTAAAGCAAATCATTACACATTGAATTTCTTAACTGCTTCTGTTTTTCAAATAAATAACTAAGACTTACCTGCCAAACTAAATAAATAATGGTTGACTTTCCGCAACGTTTCTGTCCATTTTGAATAAAGAGATACGAAAACAAAAAGAAGTCGTTGGGCGTGAAATGGAGCCCAGCAGACAATAAAAGCGACCACAACTGCAGCTGAAAAGAACAATTCATATTTAGAACAAAATGATTGACTAACTTGTAGCGTCTTTTTCCTTTTTGATATTTTCAATTTAATCTCTAAACTGATCAAGAATTATGCTTTATTTAGAATGTGGCATGATTCTGAAAGACTAGCCTCCCTTTCAGTATGAACAAAACATTACTGAAAATTAACAAATTTTACGTACAGACTTTAATGTGTTCATAAAGTTCATGTTAAAAAACATTTGTTGAGTTTTTCATATATTTCAATCGAAGAAGATTTACTGAACAGAAGCATTCCTATACACAACTAAACGTACAAATCTTATTTCTTAGTTTTTTAGACAAGCATGCTGTGCCTCCTCTGTAAACCTACAGGTGTGCACTTTACTAGGAATGTTTTTATCCCATACTACATGTAAAAACGTGACGAAAGAAACTGAAGTATAGTGGTGATAATATATAATTAATTAATGTATGTACAAAGTTATTTCTAAGTAAAATAACTTTGAAAATTTATATTTTACCTCCGACTGAATTTACAATATTAATTTCAAAACTCATATAATGTAAAATGAATAGTTTGTTCAAAGCCCAGGAAGAGTGAAAAACTTCAAAAAGAACATTACATTTACGAGTTTCATTTTCTCTACAAACGTATATGCACACATTTGATTTAAAGGACAACAAGGAACTTATTAGTCCACCTAGGCTGTCCCATTTGCTAAACTAAAAAATTCAAAGCCAACTCTTATTATTCAAGTATTTATCAAGCCTTCCCTAAAAATATCTTAAATTAACTGTATATACCACATTCGAAGGCGACCCGTTCTATTAGTAAATCACCTTGTTAGAAAAATAAAGCTGTCTTAGCCGAAGATGAATCCCACCCTGCCAAAATTTATATTTGTGTCCCCTAGTTTTATTATTCTCACCATTATATAGGAGAAATGACAATTCCTCAACACTGTAAATCCCTTTCACAACCTTAAACACCTGTTTAAGTGATGATGATATTTTATTAGACTAAATATGAACATAATTCAGTCTGTGTTTCAACGATCATATGGTAATAAAAACAAAACATTAGCCCCACTGACGGACGCCAATAAATAGAAATGAAGATCAACCATATGAATAATCATATTTGCTTTTCACACTGTATTGTGACATACATTTACTAACCTAACAGCCTTATAGCTATTTTCTGAGACTGAATCTTTGTTCTTTCTCCTTCTTCTTGGCAACTAGTGCTGCCTTCTGATGTACACCTGTGCATTTTGCGAGAACGGTAGAGCGTCATGGCTATCCTGGCGTATAAGACGATGATCAGTGTTATTGGAACAACGAAAAAAAGAAAAGTCGAGCACACCATTAAGGTTTCCCAGCTTTTATCTGGTTCGTGAAAAGGAAACCCACACCACGCCGATTCCAATAATGGGTTTTTGTTCTCATCTTTCAAGTAATTGATCCGGTTGAAAAGTCCATACGGCGCTGCTCCGGCTAAAGAGAGAATCCAGATAATTATGATATTACGAATAGCACGTGAAAGCTTGGACTTGGTCTGTTGACAAATAGGATGACAGATAGCGATGTAACGTTCTACACTAAATGTCACAATCGTAAGAATAGAAGCATTAGCCGTGGTTTCTGGAATAATGGCACGTAATTCACAGATGACGTTCCCCAGGCCCCAAGGGTATTGATGCCAAAGTGTGTAAAGCTCCAATGGCATAGCTGAAAAAAAAAAGAATCAAAACACTATCAGGTTTTAAAAAATGCAATTTCTACTTAGTAAGTGCAATGTATTCCAAGTGGGAAAGAAAACAATCATGTTTCAAAATAACATTGAAATTATTTTCTTCGTTGCAAGAAATATTAAGCAACAGATATTAAATTGTGACCAGGTAAAGTCTCTTAATATCTGTCCTCCGGTGGGACAGCGCTAAGTCTTTGGATTTACAATGTTAAATTCACGGGTTCGATTCCCCTCGGTGGACACAGCAGATAGCCCGATGAGGATTTGCTATAAGAAAACACACACTAAATATCTACTTTAAATAATTAAAATAATGTGATCATATTTTCATAGAAGGTAGACATTCAGAACACTTGTAGAACAATCTGTTATTAAGAAGCAATGCAAGTCACATTTTTCAGCTTGTGGAAGTAAAATATACTAATCTTTCTTTCGCCCACACAGATAACGAATCTTATTAAACTATCGTGGTTTATTTGTTTTTGAATAAGCCAATAGACACAGGCTGTCCTAAAATCATGTTTAAATAGTACAGGGAAAGAAGAGTAATAAGCGTTTATTCTCGTGTTTCAATTTCTTTTTTAAAAAGGGGATTTAATTAGTTCTTTCAAACGCCCATGCTCTCTATATGGAAACACTTTTTTCATTAACTTGGATGTAGTTCGCAATATTGTGTAACAATCACGATTTGATGGTTACGACCCAAACTCTCAAAATTTCTGTGGAGTGTTTGTGTTTCACACTACGTTAATGCTAATAAATCGACGAATGACAATGACCAAGGAAATGTCATACTGTAGTGTAATAGTGATACCAAGGAAATGTCATACTGTAGTGTAATAGTGATACCAAGGAAATATCATACAGTAAACCAAGGAAATATCATACAGTAATGTAATAGTGATACCAAGGGAACGTCATACTGTAGTGTAATAATGATACCAAGGGAATGTCATACTGTAGTGTAATAGTGATACCAAGGAAATGTCATATTGTAGTGTAATAGAGATACCAAGGAAATGTCATACTGTAGTGTAATAGTGATACCAAGGGAATGTCATACTGTAGTGTAATAGTGATACAAAGGGAATGTCATACTGTAGTGTAATAGTGATACCAAGGGAATGTCATACTATAGTGTAGTAGAGATACCAAGGAAATGTCATACTGTAGTGTAATAGTGATACCAAGGGAATGTCATACTGTAGTGTAATAGAGATACCAAGGAAATGTCATATTGTAGTGTAATAGAGATACCAAGGAAATGTCATAATGTAGTGTAATAGTGATACCAAGGGAATGTCATACTGTAGTGTAATAGAGATACCAAGGAAATGTCATATTGTAGTGTAATAGAGATACCAAGGAAATGTCATACTGTAGTGTAATAGTGATACCAAGGAAATGTCACACTGTAGTGTAATAGAGATACCAAGGAAATGTCATATTGTAGTGTAATAGAGATACCAAGGAAATGTCATACTGTAGTGTAATAGAGATACCAAGGAAATGTCATACTGTAGTGTAATAGAGATACCAAGGGAATGTCATACTGTAGTGTAATAGAGATACCAGACACAGTGTGAACAAAGAGGATAATTCGACGTTATAAAATATAAAATAAAGAATATTTTTATTTCATGTTTAAAAAGTTAAGTACACCATAAAATATGCATAACTAGTACACCTGCCATAACCTATATAGAATACATTTAGTACAACAAATCCTTTCATTACGTGAACAAATTCGCCAGTAAAAGTTTTCCTATTTACTCAGCCATGTGGATTTTTTACATTGTATACTATTCTTTTAAAATATTTAAAAATCCGAACTTGTATTTTGCTCTCACTAATTTGAACTATTTCAGTTTATTAATTTTTCTTAAGTGGCACTTATTCACTTTTCAATAATAAAGAACTAACAAACCAACCGAACTTGTAAAACTGGCATTTTATTCTTCGTCTTTCCTTAATAGAAATACATATCTACAAGCTCACGTGCGTAAATAGGGTTTATTTTAACATAGACTAAGCTATTCGTTCTACCAACCGTGCCACAAATAATCAATCCCTCATGAAATCAGCCGTTGATGATATCAGTAATTTGTATTTTACAAAAAACTTGTATAAATTTTGGAAATTATTGTATAAAAAAAGAAATATATAAATATATATAGCAAAGAATTTTAGATATAAAATTATTTTCTAATTTAAAGTATTTAGAGATTTAGCCTTTCAAATTTACATTTTATAAAGGTAAATTTGAATCGTAGGTAAGAATTACTGTTGTCTGGTAAAGTATTTAGACATTTGCTTAGAAAGCAACTGATCCATTGATAAAAATCACGGCTTAGTTATTTGCTTACTTGCATGCGGATCGAAGGGTCTAAGGTTCGAGATATTATGCCACTGAACATGCTTTGCACATTCAACTGTGAATGCTTCATAAAAGTGATAGTTAATCTGGTTATTTGTTTCTAAAAGTCGGACAAAATTCTTGTGGCAGACAGTTAATCCTGTTATTTGTTTCTAAAAGTCGGACAAAACCCTCGTGGCAGACAGTTAATCCTGTTATTTGTTTCTAAAAGCCGTACAAAACCCTTGTGGCAGACAGTTAATCCTGTTATTGGTTTCTAAAAGTCGGACAAAACCCTTGCTACTGACATTCCTCTGATCGATAGTTCAAAACTAAAAATTGCTCAAATTACAAGGGATCACTGATAGCTTGTTTAGTCCACTTGCGTATAAGGTGTTGTTCAGATTGATAATTTGAATTCCATTTGAAAAAAAAAGATCGTTTTTTTAGTATCTTGATGTGAAGTTCCAGTGAAGTAGTAAGTATCTTTCTAGTTGACAAAATGAAATAGTTTCTCAGTGAGCTTCTCGGTTTGTTCAGAAGGTAAACGTAAGTTTGCAAAGCTTGCTTATGAATTGTACTCGGTTTTTAAACTTGATATCAGGTAGCATAAATGTGTTATTATTCGTTTTGTTACCGCTAGATATCTTGAGATGGCCGTGCGTCAAGATTCTAGCTTGCAAGGAAACAAACTGTCAAGGACATAGGTTACACACCCAATGACACTGATGTATCACACTATGACAATGTATTACTAAGACAAACGCTTTATAAACCATCTTGAAACAATCTCAGGTGACACAACCTTTGTGATTGTTTTTTTTGCGTTCACTTACTGGGAATTGTGTTTTACTGAAAGGGTAATATACATGTAAATTAAATGGAACACCAATACTTATCTGATCGACTACAAATCCCTGACATACCAGGCTGAATAAAGATTTGCTGTCAGCCCTGTTAATCTAAATATGCTGTGAGCGTGTTTTAGACAATGATATTTGGATGTTTCCGAAACCTTTATGATCTCGATACGGTCATTTGTGAAAATACCAACAGAGATTTCAAAGCATAACAATTTTAGCATGAAACATCTTTTTAGTGAATGTAAATGTAACAAACACATGTTAAGGTTATTGTGTTACAGTTTCCTGATCGTTATCGAAATGTTAATTACCTCCTATAGAAATATATTTTGGAGGATATTTTATCCATTTAATTCATCTTTAAACGTGCATGTACATATCGTGTTATCATAGGGGGTGTTATCGTTTAAACGTGTCATCAAATACAATGTATAAAACAAGTTTCACACCTGAAAGATATTTATATGATTTATATTTCTTAAACAATATAAAAATACCTTCACTAAACGTGAGAAAAGAACTGCCGTTTTCGTAACTAAGACCTAATATCAGCTTATTTTACGACCTAGTTGTCAGATATGATAATGTTTTAAACAACATATGACAATATATTTGCCGAACATCCCGTCTATGTGAAACGTAAAGCACACAACAGACATGTCACTGTGAAGACCTCCAGTCACCTGAAACCATGTTAATGAAAAGCATTACTTCTCATGTCTGATTTTATTTACTTATGTTCAATGTTTGCTTGCTTTTTTCGTACTTTATTTGCTTTTGTTTCGAGTTACAGAAATCAACTGACACTGTGTTGTAGGAACCTACTTAATATTTGTGAGTAAATCCTTCGAACGTAGCATCAAGGTAAAACATAAATATTATATAATATTTTAGTTTTATTAGATGCATACAAACAACTGATTGTTATAAAACCTCAGTAAATGTTACACTTATTACTACCTCGCATACATTCTGCATCCTCCAACCAGAGAAAAGTAAATTTCACTGGATTGATGACTGAGATTGTTATATACGTTGTTTTCTCATTCATGGCAGCTTTTCACGTGTTCCCAGGGTTTACTATACTCTTACCTTGATGTGCGGAAGGTGCGTAAGTCCGGTTTCTTGTGATATAGGGTCCTGCATGGCCAGGTGGTTAGAGCACATGACTGGCAATCTGAGGGTCGCGGGTTCGAATCTCCGTCCCACCAAACATGCTCGCACTTTCAGCCGTGGGGGCGTTATAATGTGCCAATCAATCCCCCTATTCGTTGGTAAAAACGAGATGTTCGAGATTTTAAAACTATTCCTGTTACATATTCATACTTTCAACCAGAAATTAATTTTTAGGAAACAACACTGTAGCAACCATGCGTGAAGGGATCATTCATGGCAGCTTTTCACGTGTTCCCAGGGTTTACTATACTCTTACTTTGATGTGCGTGAAGGGAGTGTGCTTTTTCGGGCGTGAAAAGGATTAACTCACTTGCTCTCAAGGTGTAAGGTATAAATTATTTAGATATTTAAATCAAGTGTAATTTAAAATACTTTATTCTATGGTAAGGCTTATGTAAGTTCATTTGTTTTATAGCTGCGCTAAACCCTTTTCTTTAACATTTTACCTAAATTTCCTTTCTGTTAAAATATTTCAACGACGTATAAATCATATATCTCAAATATATTAGCTCACATTCAGCAATAAAACGAATTCATTTAGATTTTTGAAATCTATTGAAATTTGTAGAACATGTAATATACT